GTCCCAGCTACTCAGGAGGCTGAGACAGAAGAATCCCTTGAACCCGGGAGGCGCAGCTTGCAGTGAGCCGAGGTCGCGCCACCGCACTCCAGCCCAGGCAACAAGAGCGAAACGCAGTCTTAAATTAAAAAAAGAAAAGAAAAGAAAAAAATTACAAATTAATCACCAAGAAGAGAAATATGTAGAAGAAAGATGTAATTCAGTTGTTTAGAGTGCAGAGAGAATTGGAACTAAGAGAGATGAGCAAGAAAAGTGGGAAGTGTATGTACTTACAAACCTAATCACAAACCTGTCACGAAAACTGCGAGTAAACGAGTCGAAGTTGAAAATGCAGTTTTTGTGAAGCAGAGTCTGATTGGACTTGAATTTACTAAGAAAGAATCAAGAAGGGTGTGGAATATTCCAGGATATCTCTATCCCACCACAAAACAAACAAGCCATCAACCCACCCCAACTGGGCTGCACGAGACTGGAAGGCACACTAGTCACCCAGTCACTGAAAACCTTTGAAACAGCTTCATTTTTCTCTCCAAATAAAAAAGAGCCTAGATCAGTAAACTAGGTATGAGAATAATTTTCAAAATTCCAATCCTAACCACACCGGGTGATTCTGGCTAACGTATGCCTCAGTTTCCCCCGTGCTAAAATGCAAACACACCTGTGTTCCGAGTCTCGGCGTGGATCCGAGCCCGGGTTCTGCACCTGGATCTGACTCTCAAAGGGAAAGGCGCAACTTAAACCCGAGGAGGAGTCTGCAGCTGTCCCCGTGCCGGAGCCAGCCAGGCTTTTTAAAAAAGCCCCCCGCATCAGGCGCGGTTTCTGTAAAACCGCTCCCGGCTGCCAGCGCGGTGGATTCCGGTTCCCGCCCCGAACACCTGAGGTGGCCTCGGCCGTCTAGGGTCAGCCGGTCCGGGGTACGCAGCCGACCTCTCCGCCCCGCCGCGTCCCCGGCCCCCATTCCACCCGCGACGCGAGTAAGGTCGGCCCGGCAGCTCTCCGGCCCGAGGCGGTGCTTCTCTCTAGTGGGCGCCTTTGGCCCGTACATCCCTCGGTCAAACAGTCCCACCACAAACGCCCCGCAACCCCAGCCTCAGGGGAACTTGTGGGCGCCATTCAGTCTCCGCTGACTCCCGTCCCCGCACTCACCTGCCCCACGGGCCACCTCAGCGCCAATCCGGGTCAGGTTAGCGGCTTCCCCGCTCGCACCCAGTCAGCGCTCAGCGGCGCCTAAGCGCACGCGTGGCGGGGCGGAGCATAGGCGGCCGCGGGTCATGCTGGGGGCTGTAGTCGTTCCCGCCCACTTGGCGGGACGCCGCCAGGAGCTTTGCGACCCCGTCCCAAGGCCTGCAGGCACAGCGATGCTTTTGCCGTCTCACCAATCCTCACATCCACCCAGGCTTCATCATACCTTTCTGGGGACTCCTAACCCTTGTGCTTCCACTAAAGCTATGGTTACAAACATTAGGATCTCCTGGTTCTTAAATGAAACTGAGCACCAGCCAGGGAAAGAGGGCATTAAGTGTCCAGGTGTCTGACTTCAGCTGAGCAGACGTTTCATCAGTTGTCCCATGTTCTGCCCAGAACCTAACATCTGGGTAGTTTTCATGCTGGAGTCTGCGTGAGTTTAAACCAATCTTAAAGAAAACAGCCTGGGTTAACATAGTGAGACCCTGTCTTTACAAAAAACAACAAAAAATTAGCCAGGTGTGGTTGTGTGTGCCATAGTCCCAGCTACTCAAGAGGCTGAGGTGAGAGGATCGCTTGAGCCAGGAAATCGAGGCTGCAGTGAGCTGTGGTCACACCACTGCACTCCAGCCTGGGCGACAGCGCGAGATCTTGTCTTTTACATATATATATAAATCTACATTATATATATATAAATGTACATTTAACATGTTTTCCAGTGAACATGCAGACCACCCAATACATCAAATTAAAATGCTACATGGGAAAATCAGATTACAGAGTTGCATACAAGTGTGTAAATACAGAAACAAAGGAGAATGGAAAAGGAAAGAAGACAGAGATGCACCAACAAATCCACCCACTCAAATAGTCCACGAAGAAACCAGGTCAAATCGCCAATCACTGGAGATCATTAGTCTAACAGAATTGTTAGGACAGGAAGAAGACTGTTATCTTATTTCCTTATTTTCTATGAGGAAATGTATTAACTAAAATCCATGGTATCCTATATCCCCAACGTCTGTTATGTAATATAAAGTCTCACATTAGATAAACTGATAGTAGTTGCTGCCTCTAAGTTGCCCATACCAGAGAAGGAAGTAGACAGAATATCTGGTCAGAGTCCAATGACTTAATTTCCTTGTTTCAGACTTATCATTTCAGGATTTTTTTTTTTTTTTTTTGAGACCGAGTCTCGCTCCATTGCCCAGGCTGGAGTGCAGTGGCATGATCTTGGCTCACTGCAACTTCTGACTCCTAGGTTCAAGCAATTCTTCTGTCTCAGCCTCCCGAGTAGCTGGGACTACAGGCGCCTGCCACCATGCCCAGCTAATTGTTTGTATTTTTAGTAGAGATGGAGTATCACCTTCTTGGTCAGGCTGGTCTTGAACTCCTGACCTCAGGTGATCCACCTGCCTCGGCCTCCCAAAGTGCTGGGATTACAGGCATGAGCCACCACCGCACCTGGCCCTTTTCAAGATTTTTTAAAGAGATGAATAGAGTGACTCTTTCTGGAAGTTGAGCAAATGGCTCTATGCTATCCCCACTTGCTTGCTATACTAACCTATATTCAGAATTTGGTTTTCAGAATTGCCTTCTATTGTTTTTCCCAATAGGTTGAGCTCTTCTCTTAGGTTGGCTTTAAGTGACAAGTTCTCGCTATGTCACCCAGCCTGGACTGAACTCTTGGGCTCAAGTGACCCTATTGCCTCAGTTTCCCAAGTAGCTGGGACTGCAAGTGCGCATCATCTCAACCTGCTTTTCTGGCTACTTTTGATAAAACTGGAACTGACTCAGCCTCCTCTCCCTCACAACATTCCTAACTAGGCAGTCTTCCAGCTTCTGCCTGACCTGGGAGATTGAGGGTGGATTGCTAATCTCAGGGGTTCCAATGTCTGGCCCCAAGCCAATCTCAGAGCCTTAATAATGGGTATTGATCTCAGTGTCTCTTGGGGCAATACACAATCAAGTCACTCTTCCTCCACACGGCAATATTTGAAGTGCTGACAAGTTCTCTCCTGGATAGGATAAAGAGCCCTAACATTCCTCCACCACAAGATCTTTTTGGAGGTTCGCTCTCCAGTTTATCTCTGTTCCTCAGACTGGGTATCCAAAATTGAATGTAATGCCAAGAGTGTGGAGCAGTAAGCCTCTGGTGGCTTTCTGGGCACTGGACAACCATTAACACCTCCTAAAACAGTCTTCTCTCAGTTCTGGTGCATACTGAGTTTAAGGTTAACTTATTTACATTGATCTTATTTTTCCTCTTAGTTTAAGGCACATCATTTCAGCCTGTTTAGGTTACAGATGAAAACTTATTTTACCAAATAAATGTACTTGTTAATTCTCCCAGTTTTGTGTCATTTGCAAATCTGATAAACAAAAGCTTTCATTTTCATCTATGCTGAAAAATACGTAGGATGAGAATGGGCTAAATAACAAGGGCTCTCCTGGCAGGTAGGTAATTAACTCAATATTTGGCTACAGTTGCTTCAATCAGCTATAATACTGCAACAAGGAAGTTGGGCGTGGTGGCGGAAGCTGGAAGACTGCCTAGTTGCCAAGTATCTGATGTGCTCTTGCTATTGGAAATACAACAAGGAATGACACAGACAATGTTCTTGTCCAATGGCATTTGCTTACACTGTAAACAAGTAAAAAAGAAAACAAGATTAGGCCGGGCATGGTGGCTCATGCCTGTAATCCCAGAATTTTGGGAGGCTGAGATGGGTGGATCACTTGAGGTCAGGAGTTCAAGACCCACCTGGCCAACATGGCAAAACCCCATCCCTACTAAAAATACAAAAGTTAGCCAGGTGTGGCGGCGGGTGCCTGTAATCCCAGCTACTTGGGAGGCTGAGGCCGGAGAATCGCTTGAACCCAGGAGGTGGAGGTTGCAGTGAGCCGAGATTGTGCTACTGCACTCTAGTCTGGGTGACAGAGCAAGACTCAACAACAAAATCCATGCAACCAGGAATAAAGACTGTCAGGTGCCCTGATGAAATCAACATACTCAATTAGCATTTCCCTGATATATAAGCCTTATCAAAAGATGAAATGAGGTTGGACACAACTTTGGCTGAATAAGCCTGATGGTCACATCAGGGTTTTTTTTTTGTTCTGTTTTGTTTTTAAGTATTTACTGTAGTTCCAAACTTCATTACTTATACTAGCCAAAAATAACTGAAATAAAAGCTATCTGATCATGGACTCAATCACTGAGTCCAGGCTATTTTGCTAGACCTAGATCTAATTCACTTTTAGAGGACAGGACCAGAAATTTCTTGCTACTTTACAAGCAAACGAACACGTGAAAAGGACTAAACTTGAGGCAGCTGGAAAATATGCCTTGAAAGAACAGAGATCAAGTACGAACTACATTTATTATGCAAGTTTGTGTTGTTGTAAACAACAGAGTAAACTTCAATGCTCTTTGTTTCTGCATTGTTGAGAAATGTGAGACTGAGAAAGGGGAAAGACCATGGATAGAAGAAAGTGCTGTATTAATTTAAGGTAACAATTCTCAAGGTAAAATAAGGCATTACAGTAACACAATTTTCACGCCTCAGCAATTAATGATTTTTCGTTTAATTCTCTTCCAACTCTAGAGACATAATTCTGCTTTCACCTTCATCACACTTTCATATGGTTTTAACAGGGGATACACCTCCTCTTCTAAGAATCTCTGCACCTGCCAGAGGAAAGCAGATACAAGACAAAAGAAAATGTTAAGATATTAGCAGATAATACCTTTTCCAATGTCAGGTGATACCACTAAAACCTAATTTAATGAAGCTTTTACTCCACCACTAAGCTTGTTTTTTCCTTAACTGCCTATAAGGAATTTCCGCCTAGACACAGGTGATTCAACCACCATGCCCACATGCCCACCAACCTTTCCCGCAAACTGGCCCAGCCTGTGTTCTCTCAGGTGGTTTTGCCATTTCCATCCAACCTAAAAATCACCACAGCTTTCCTCCTGCTTCCCAGTCCTCTTCAAGTAATCACCAAGAGCTTAACCTCCTCTCCCTCCCTGGTCTGCATCTCTCACCACTGCCTTCACTCAAAGCTCTCATCATCTACTGCTTGGTCCGTTGCAGCAGCCTCCTTATTGGTCTCCTACCTCCAGTTCTAGTATTTTAGCCCTCAGTCCTCGCACCTACTGCTTGGTATTCTAATGACCTATTTAAAAGTATTCACCACTAAGTTTTGAGCTCTCTAAAGATGAGAATTATCCATTCATCTTTATTTTTTGAGACAGGATCTCACTTTGTCACCCAAGCCAGAGGGCAGGGGCATGAACATGGCTCACTGCAGCCTTCACCTCCTAGGCTCAAGCTATCTTCCCGCCTCAGCCCCCTGAGTAGCTGAGACTATAGGTGCACGCCACCACACCTGGCTAACTTTTGTATTTTTTTGTAGAGACGAGTTTTCACCATGTTGCCCAGGATGTTCTTGAACTCCTGAACTCAAGCAATTCTCCTGCCTAGGCCTCCCAAAGTACTGGGATTACTGGTGTGAGCCACTGTGCCCGGCCTATGTATTCATTTTTAAATCCCCAGAATTAAATACAGTATCTGAACACATACTGAGCACCTAGTATATACTCATGCATTTCAATTGTTAAAACACTGAGATATTTACTTTTATCCTGTCAGTCAGTAAATGCCAGAGGTTAGGATTTAACCCAAATCCACCTGACAATAAAACCTAATTCTTTGTCCATTATACCACATTCTCAAGATCAAAACTCCAAAAAATCTACATAAAGAAATACTTAAGGCAGCTAGCTCAAAACAGCCATATCTTGGTCAGTTGTGGGGGCTCACGCCTGTAATCCCAGCACCACTGCACTCCAGCCTGGGTGAGAGAGAGACTGTCTCCAAAAACAAAACAAAACAGAAACCAAACCCAAATCTCTAAGTTTTGGCCAGCAACCTGCTCTGATTTCCTTCTAGCTAGGCCCATTCCCAACATACCTCCTATAAAGCAAAAACATCAAAGAGAGTACCCCAGGTTCTGCAGCCCAGCAGAAAAGAGGCTTCTGGGGACCGCTCCTCGGAAGAGTTCTAATGTATGCTTACCTGCTGGGAGGCACGACCAGTGAAAGAAGAAGGATCCAGTAAACGATCCAACTGGGAGTGAATGGGACTGAAGTAGGCATCAGCCTGGATACGCTCTATGAGGTCATTGTCACCCCCTTCCTGCTTGACCACAGAAGCTGCCTGCTGAGAAAGCACTCTGATTTTCTCATGGCAATCCTGGGAAGACAGTGAAGTACTGTCAGTTCTCCACTAACAGGGCATTTGAACACTTTAAAAAAGTCATCAGATACTTCACATCCATGTAGTCTACACAGCTCTACACAAAAACACCTCCAGGCTGAGGTGGTTCCTGTGTCTGTCTCTACCAGGGTCTTCACTACTCTCTGCCCACATCTTAGGACGAGCCTGAAATGGATGCCCACCCTGCTCTGGCCCTCTTCCATAAAGCCCCATGAATAATTTGCTCTTGTCTCCTGCTCACTTCCTACGGAATGTCAGACCTCATTCCTTCACTAGGAGTGGACTTTTCCTACAAGTGATTAAGTAATTCACTTTAAAAAACTCAGTTCACCACAATCACCCTCCATAGATGGCAGATTATGGCCACTGCTCTGTACCATTACTGTGAAGCTAATGACACGAACACCTTCATCTGCTCTCCCTCATGGAGAAGAGAGCAGGACCAAACGTGCACTCTCAATTTAACCAGGAACATGAGAGGTTACAAACCTGGCGGCTACCTCCAGCTTTGACCATGGCCATGATGATGTTCTCTGTGGCCATGAAAGGCAGCTCTTGCCGAATGCGCCGTTCAATTACCTATAGGAAAAGATAAAGTGAATGACCAAGAAAGCTGCCTCAAGGCTAAAGTGATAAACACAGCAGGATGTCAAACAAAATGCACAGCACAGACACTACCTACCACATTATGGAGACAGTAATGGGTTGTTTTATTCTACATGATGTTTTTTCAGTTTTCTTACTAACTCAGACTTTTGATTTTTTTTTTTTTTTTTTTTTTGAGACAGTCTCGCTCTGTTGCCCAGGCTGGAGTGCAGTGGCACAATCTCCACTCACTGCAAGCTCCGCCTCCCGGGTTCACACCATTCTCCTGCCTCAGCCTCCCCGCCCGCCACCACGCCCAGTTAATTTTTCTATTTTTAGTAGAGACGGGGTTTCACCGTGTTAGCCAGGATGGTCTCGATCTCCTGACCTGGTGATCCACCCACCTCAGCCTCCCAAAGTGCTGGGATTACAGGTGTGAGCCACCGTGCCCAGCCAGACTTTTGATTTTTAAAAAGGGAATATTAACTTAAAAAGTTGCCACATAGAAAGATTTTTTTTTTTTTGAGACGGAGATTCTTTCTTGTTGCCAGGCTGGAGTGCAGTGGCATGATCTTGGCTCACTGCAACTTCTACCTCCTGGGTTCAAGCAATTATCCTGCCTCAGCCTCCTGAGTAGCTGAGATTACAGGCACGTGCCACCACGCCCAGCTAATTTTTGTATTTTTAGTAGAGACAGGGTTTCACTGTGTTAGCCAGGATGGTCTCGATCTCCTGACCTCGTGATCCGCCCATCTCGGCCTCCCAAAGTGCTGGGATTACAGGCTTGAGCCACCGGGCCCGGCCTAAATAATTCTTAAAACCCCTATTTGCTACATATCAGTGCTCAGCCTCAAGAGCTAAGTATAGGAGAGAAATAAACTCATCTGCCTCAGGTACTTAAAAACAGGCAAATGGAGCCATCTACTCTGCCTAGTCACACCAGAGCTGATGATTCATGCTGCGAGATAGTTTAAAGGCAATTTAAAATACTTCTTTTTCTGTTTCTATAAATGTGTCTATGAATTCCACAGAGCTAGTTCCCTAGAGCTTATGAACTGAAGGATGAGCTCGGGTGGGAAGAACGCCTATCGGATCAGAATGCAGCTCCCTCAACACATCCCAGAGCACCCTCCCTCCCACATTCTAACCCCTCCCTAATACTTTACTTTTTAATTGAAGCTTCTTACTTTGGGGTACACTACCAATCCTTCAGAAATGTTCTGCAGCGTATTCAGTATAGTATCTGCAGTAAGAAATGCCTCGGCCAAACAGATCCGTCTAGAAAACAAATAGCCATTCAGTATCTCTTTAAACAAATAATTTCAGTGAAATGCAGAGTGTGTCCCAACAAGTTGCCCTACTGACTGTACTCTCTGGATAATTTCCTTCAATCTCATGATTACCCCAATGACCTCATGACCCTCAAGTCTGTCACCTCTAGGCCAGACCACTTGCCTAAGTGCCAGACCTTATACCTACTGAGACGTCTACCTGGTTGATCCATAGGTACCTCAATCCCCAAACTGAACTCAGCCACTGTCATTCTTCTTACTCACCATTACAAACCTGCCATTCCTCCCTCACAGGTCCTGCCTCAGCAAATGACAGTAGCGCCCCAGTCACCAAATTCTTTATACTCACTCCGGTCAACCACCAGGGCTGGCCAGTCTGCCTTCAACTCTGGATCTATATCCTTCCTCTCCATTGACATGGCACCTGCACCAACGTGGCCTCGGACTTTTAAAGTAGCCCCTAACTTGTTCCGACGTGATCCCTGTCTCCTTAGAGCCAACTCTCCAAACTGCTGCCAGGGTCTTTTAGCAGGCAAATCAGCAGACCCCCAGGGTCACACCTTGCTAAAAAGTATTCAGTGGCTGACTTCTGAGTGAGTTCACATGACTTATCTCCAGAGATAAATCCTAGATTATGCACAGATCCCAGAAAGGTAGGTCTAACTATACATCCGTATCCACTCAAGAAATTCCAGCACAATGCAAGCAGGCGAGAGTAATGCCAGTCTGCTTTAAATGAGTATTAACACAAAACAGAAAATGATGTGCACATTGGTACCTCATCAGCAGTACAGATTATTTCAGACTCATCTCATAGCTTATCAAGATGTCACTGTGCCTAAACACCACAACTGACATCTATCTGCCTTCAGAAAAGACCCAGAAGACCTTTCGTAAACTGGCTACTATCTGTGACCATGTCCTGCCCCACCTCCTGGCACATGTTGATTTCATTCCCCAGGGCTACTCAAGTAGTAGTAACTCCCTCAAGTGTGTTTTCTCCTGCTTGGTGCCTTTATAATGCTCCCAATCTTGTCTTTAAAAGATGCATGTATTTCTTAAGTCTTAAGGCACCACCTCTACTGTGAAGCGTTCTGACTCCTCAAGCACCATGCCTTCCTCTCTGCTCCACAGTACCCAGTACACACTCCAACTGTAACACTTATCACATTGTCTTTTCTATGTTTTTGCCTCCCTGCTAGACTCTGGGCTCCTTGGGGATAAGGAGACTGTAGAGATGCTCAAATATGTCCTTTTACTTCTAGGTCCCTCCTTCAGACCTCCTCTCAACTTGGTGTATGTGACGTCCCTGCGCCACTGACCGGTTGGCACTATCATCCAGTGTCCGTTCAAACCACTGGACAGATGCTGTCTGTAGCGGGTCCATGACAAGGGTCATCAGGTGGCGGGCAAGACTGCAGCAACGTTCTGAACGCATGGGATTCCGCTTGTATGGCATCGCACTCGAGCCTGCCCATGTAAAAAAGGACAAGATGCAAAGGCAGAGAGACTTCAGAGGATAGTGAGTAGGCAAGCATGCTGCTGAATGAGCTCTCAGCCCCCATCCACAGCCCTCCAGCCGCTCTGTGTGCTCACAGGTCTCTACACAGCACTCACCAATCTGCTGTTTTTCAAAGGGTTCCTCCATCTCCTTGAGGTTTGCCAGGAGGCGTATGTCGGTGCAAATCTGGGGGAGGCAGGGGAATAAGCATCACCCCACACTGTCAGTGTGCAGGAGAGTCTGGGAGCCGTGACTAGGCTGATGAAGGAGATGAGCTCTTAGGTGTGCTGCGGCTGAGCTGAAGACCAGCGTGTCCTCCCCAAGAGCTCCTGGAGAGTATCTTACTCAGACTCCTCTCTGTTCCCGAAGGGCTGGGATGACAAATTCAAGGAGCATGAAAACGCTTTTGTGAAACACTGCTTAAGGCATCATGGAAAGACAATCACAAGATTAATTTCGGATGGGCACAGTGCCTCACACCTGTAATCCCAGCACTTTGGGAGGCCGAGGCAGGTGGATCACCTGAGGTCAGGAGTTCAAGACCAGCCTGGCCAACATGGTGAAACCCCGCCTCTACTAAAATAAGACAGGCATGGTGGTGCATGCCTGTAATCCCAGCTACTTGGGAAGCTCGCCTGAACCTAGGGGGCAGAGGTTGCAGTGAGCTGAGATCGTACCACTGCACTCCAGCCTGGGCAACAAGAGTAAAACGCCATCTCAAAAAAAAAAAAAAGATTAATTTAATACACCACTGAAAAAGATGGATGTTTTGCAGTGCTTGGGATAACTTTAAAGAAAATGCCAGCCGGGCGCGGTGGCTCACGCCTGTAATCCCAGCACTTTGGGAGGCCGAGGCAGGTGGATCACCTGAGGTCAGGAGTTCAAGACCAGCCTGGCCAACATGGTGAAACCCCGTCTCTACTAAAAATACAAAAAATTAGCCGGGCGCAGTTGTGGGCGCCTGTAGTCCCAGCTACTCGGGAGGCTGAGGCAGGAGAATGGCGTGAACCCGGGAGGCGGAGCTTGCAGTGAGCCGAGATCGCGCCACTGCACTCCAGCCTGGGCGACAGAGCGAGACTCCGTCTCAAAAAAAAAAAAAAAAAAAAAGAAAATGCCAAAACTAGTCTTCCCCTTAAGGGTTTCATCTACAGACCACAAATTATTAAACTAATGTATAATATTGCTTGAGAGATGGTTAAGTAAAAGTCTGAGGCTGAAACAGTCAGTCTGTGGTGCCCAGAGCTCCTGTCCCCGCCCCACAAGCTGCCACCACTCACCTTGTGTACTGACGCCCCCAAGCTAGCCAGCACAGACAGTACTTCAATATCCACTTTTCGTGTATATGTCTGCCCTGTGATGATGAAAGCTCTAGAAATAAATAGAAGAGAGATGTATGTTAAAATATTTTAAAGCCATTGCAGTGGTGCATGACTGTAGTCCCAGCTACTTAAGAGGCTAAGGGAGGAGGACTGCTTTAACTCAGGAGGTTGAGGCCAGCCTAAGCATCATTGGGAGACTCTTATAAAATAATAATAATAATTCAAAACATGCCTCTGTCAAACAAGGAAAAACACATTCTAAAGAAAAGCTTGGTCTTATTGGTATGCTAAGTTATACTGAGCCAGTGGACCTGAGTGGTAACTTGCTCCTGAAATAAACTATTCTTCCACCCTTTTCACTAATACTCAGGACACTGGCATGACTCAAGAAGGATACATGGTGCAACATGCCCATGTCCGGCCACAGCTCAATAGAAATGCCTGGGCGAAGCATCCATGGTGGAACCTGGTGGACTCCAATGGAAATGGTCAGATTTAGCCTAACCTGTTGGGGGCCCTAAGTAAAGAAACAAAAATGGAAACAACATGAAAAAAGGTATATTCTAAAGAAACCAGAAGTAAATCATTTTCTTTTTTCCTATAGATAATACAAAAATAGAATGCAGGTCGGGCCTGGTGGCTCATGCCTATAATCCTAGCACTCTGAGAGGCTGAGGCAGGTGGATCGCTCGATCTCAGGAGTTCGAGACCAGCCTGGGCAACATGGTGAAACCCTATCTCTACAAAAATAACACAAAAATTAGCCAGGCATGCTTGCAGTCATAGCTACTCAGGGGGCTTAGGTGGAAGGACGGCTTGAAGCTGGGAGGTGGAGGCTGCAGTGAGCCGAGATCACACTGCTGCACTCCAGCCTGGGTGACAGAGTAAGACCCTGTCTCAAAAATAATAATAAAATAAAATAAAATCCAGAAAATATGTCAGCAAGACGATTAGGGGGAAAAACAAAAAAGAATCCAGATAGTAAGAAAATAAAACCCAGGATAGAGACAGAAAAAAAAAAAAAAAAATGGGTAGAAGAACAAAGGAAGAAAAGGGCAAAAATTGTAAGATCAAATCTAGAGGTATACTGAACACAGGACTTTCATCAACTTAACAGGGAGGTCAACGTATTCCCACTTACCTACCTCTTAAATCCCGCCTTATCTGTCACCATCTTGTCAAGCTGCTCTACCTTGGAAAGAAAAGACACATCCTTATAATAATCCAGGTGTCTAGTATGAGAATGCCCCAACCTGTCATCCTACCCAGGTCTTGCCCCCAACCCCCACAACTTCCTTCCAGTTCAAAGACCCCACCCGTCCCACAATCAATCTCTCCTATCATCCTCAAAGACAGCCTTGTCTCAGGCTCCACCACTGAGTTTCAGTCTCCTGCAGGTCACTTTCTGAATACCTTATGGTCATCTCCCTCAAAGAGCTGCAGGAAACTGGCCTGAGTGCCAGTGGTGCCCTTTACTCCCCGGAAGCGCAGGTCATCCCGGACACGCTTCAAGTTCTGGAGATCCATGCAA